TTTTAAGTTTGAGTTTGATTTGAGTTTGAAGTTTGATCAAACCCGGACTGAACTGGACTCAAACCTAGGAGCCCTAGTACTGAAGTCACTGAAAACGAACTATGCAGTGATTTTTTTTCTTTCTTTGAAGTGTCTATGTCTTTTTTATAGCATAATCCAACATCAAGTTTCCTATTTGGATTTCTACTTTCAGCAGAATCCAAATATCATTTGAACATCCCTTTCTCATCTTTTTTAACACCACTTTCATCATAATGGTGATAGCCTTCACTAAATATTCTATCAGCATGACTGATATTTACATCCCAAAACTATTAAAGCATATTTGTCTCACAATCAGAAGTAGTAAACTTTTGATCTTTAAATTCATCAATATTATTTACAACTTCAGGGTTCATTATTTCAGAATCTATACACCATCCCTCTTTAACAACTTTAATACAGAACAGTTCATTGGTGGTTTCAATAATGCTCATACTTTTTCTTTGATCTTCACTCACGTTGAAATTTTAGATGTCTCTATTTCAAGATCATGTTTCGATCTACCTTTAACAATTTCATCACAGACTATTTCATTGGCGCATTTGATTTTTTGGCTGGTTTGTCATTCAACACAGATAGTGACCACTTTTTTCATACTTTATTTGATCTGTCCCACTACCCTTATCTTCACTAACTGACAAATTTCTATCATTACTTCTTTTATATACATTGCTTGCACTACTTTATTGTTTACCTTATTACTATTATATTCAATACTTATCAACGACTGCAACAAACCCTTTATCATTGCATCTATTTTCACAACTACACCTAATGGTGCTTCTATTATTATAACTATTTTATCTTTACTAACTTCACTACCAAATTCACCAAGTCCTCTCTCTCAGATCTTTTCATCTTTTGATTAAAGTATATCAATTCTGATTCTATTTTCGTAACAATAACTAGCCATATATGTTTTATCACTATGATCCTTGTTTGCAGATTTTTGATAATGCTTAAACCTTTTTTCAGAACTTCTAGATATATTTTTTTTTGTTTTTTCTTTTATACTTATAATACCTTTATTGCATATACTAATGTTCACTATCTCTTTCGTTCTCAATTTATCCTCCTTAACTTTGTACTATTCCTTTGATCATCTTTTTTATATTTCTCATCACCTTTATTCTCTGTTCCTGAGAGTCTCATAAATCTTACAACATTCATTTTTGGATTTATTTGTAATGAACAAGAATGAGCATAGTGTTCTATCTTTCTATATACATAACACAATCATGGCTATATATGCTACCAAAATAGATTTTCAAAAAAACCTTATTTCGTTTCCATTAGAGCAATTTAGAATTTTTTATATGCAAGAGCAAATCTAATTTAGATAGTTATATTTCTTATAATTTCGTCTCTTCAAAAAAAATATCAAAAAATTTCAT